TGCGTCAGACTTTATTATGTATGCCATGTTACTACAAATGGTAATAAATGACAAATTCTACCTAATAGCTTTCTATTTCAGAAAATTTTTAGTGGCCAAGATTAATTATGAGATCCATGATAAATAGCTCTTTGCAATCGTGGATTCATTTCAAGAATGGAATCATTATCTAAAAGGCATTTCAAGTCTAATCACTGTGTATATGGATCATAAGAACCTTGAGTATTTCATGTCAACACATGTTTTGAATTGTCGTCAAGTCCATTGGAGCATGTCTATATTAAAATTGAATTTCAAGATCACTTATCAACTCGAAAAACAACAAGGTCTATCAAATGTCCTTTCTAGATGTTCTTTTCTTATACTAAAAGAAGAAGATGAATCTTTTAATCAATAAAGAATAATTCTTTTGAAGTCCAAGTATTTTCATCTTCAAGTAATAAAATCAACATTGACTATTGATTCAACCTTTGTTAAGCAAATTCAATAAAATATGTCCTCTGATTTTTTTGTTCATGATATCAAGAATACTTCCTCTAAGTCCTATGACACTTCAAAGTTTGAATTCAAAAACAACTTATTATATTTCAAAGATCGCTATATATTCCAAAAGATAAAGCTTGATTACATATCCTTCAAGCTTGTCATGATCTTCCAGCAACCAGATATTTTGGATGTAACAAGACTTTGGAGCTAATATCAAGAGATTTTTGGTGGCCTCAAATGTGAAAGGTAGTCAAAAACTTTGTACAATCATATAATACTTGTTCAAGATCCAAAACTCCTTGCCATCAATTTTATGGACTTCTTCAACTGTTATCAATTCCATAACAACCATGGTCCTCTGTTTCTATGGATTTTATCATAGATCTTTCAATTTCAGGTTCATGTGACTCTATATTCGTAATCATAGATTGCTTCATAAAAATAGCACATTTTGTACCATATATGAAATCTATTTCAAGTAAAGATATAGCTAAGATTTTCATTGATAGTATCTATTACTATCATGAATTACCAAAATATATTAAATCAGATAGAGGGATTCAATTTGTATCAAGATTTTAAAGAATCCTATTCAAGATTCTAAAGATGGATATAGAGCTCTCTTCAACTTTTCATCCTCAAACTCATAGGCAAATAGAAGGGATGAATCAAGTTTTGGAGCAGTATTTGAGGTATATCATCAACTATCATCAAGATGATTAGACATCTCTTTTACCATTGACAGAATTTGCATACAATAATTTGATACATTCTTCTACTCAACAAATACTTTTTTATACCAATTATGGTTATTATCCATGACTTGATGCTTTTGACTTTTCAAAAGTTGATAATCCTATGGTAGAAGATTTAACAAATCATTTGTTAGAGCTACATGCATCAATGAAGATAAAATTAAAAGAAGCTCAAGAACAACAAAAGACCAACATGGATGCCTATCACAAGGAGAAGCGACAATTCAATGTAAGTGATAAGGTATGATTATTTTGTTGCAATATCAAGACTACTCGTCCTTGTGATAAGTTAGACTATCATAGGTTGGGACCTTTTTCTATTTTTAAACAAATCAATCCTATTGCTTGTTGATTATATCTATTGGAGTCTATGAAGATCCATCATATATTTCACATATTTTCTAAAAAAGCTTCTTAGAAGCTTTATATATGCAATATAAGATAGTGAATATCTTGGAAAGAAGATAAATGCCACCTCATCCTATAGAAGTGGATAATAATCAAGAGTTCGAGGTAGAAGAAGTCTTAGATTCAAAGCGGCACCAAAATAAGTTGGAATATCTTATTCATTGGCGTGGATATGATATTAGCAAATATACATGGGAGCCATCAAAGAATCTTGGAAATGCAACAAAGAAGGTTGAGGGTTTTCATCGACAACATCCATTAAAATCAAGATGAAGAATTACAAAGATCCATGAAAGATGATGATTGCTTCTCGTACAATATGTTCCTAAAAGGAGAGGTAATGCCATGGATATATACATTTATTTCAATAGTTACTTATATGATAAGGTAGAAGTAGATAAATATAGATTAATTTTATGAAGTCTTCTAGCAAAGCTTCTTGGAAGCTTCATAGATGCGGTTTTGACTTTAGATATGTTTGTAGGATAGAAACTTGGCCAACAAGTTAACCACGTGTTGGTAGCTTGTGGAGCAAGTTAACTTTGTATAGTAGCTTCTGAAATAAGCTTAATATATGGCACATATATAGATAACTTGCCTTACAAATTAAGACATGTGGCTAATAAAGTCAACAAATTTTGAAGGTTCTATAGGACATCGTCATATAGCTCTTAATTAAGAATATATATGGAGGCAAGAATGAAGCCTTCTTCACTCTTGTCAAATTATATGTAAGGCATACAATTTTACATATAAAAGATGTATTGCTTAGTGATATTTTGTTGTTGGAAGGCAAAGGTAGATGAGAGTATTAAAAATATTTAAACTATTATGCTTCTTTTCATCTACCTATTGATATTTTTGTATATCTTCAATTGGTAATTGTACCTATTGATCTTTCTTGTTTTATATGTGGTGAGAAGAAAGGGGCAACTATCATACTTTTGTATAATCAATACCACATGTATTGGTATTGTAGATAGCATATGGCATGTTTAATACTATCTTTATTGATTCTCCCTTCAAAAGCTTGGATGTATCTTCATTATAAGAAGTCTTTTAGCCATGCCTCATCTATTGATAAAAATTGAAGATTTCTTCTACTGAATTTGTTAAACACTATGTTGGTCTCGTTGATACAACATTGATTTGAAAGAGTATAAATTAATAGCAATATTATTCTAGAATTCATTTGTAATAATATGTTTTTTGTAATCCTAACTAATTGGAAGGGCTCCTAATTAGATGGAGGGGGCATTTGAGAGTATGTTGGTTATACATTTATTATTGGTTTAGATTACATATTTTGTAATTGGTTTGTAGTACTTAATGTATTGTGTGTAACAATCTTTGTTTATAAGATATCATATAAATTGTTAGAAAGTAAGACATGTATTAAAGTATGATAGAATTATTAAATTAGAATTTAAAATATAAATATATTAATATACATTTAAACTTAAAAGTAATTGATTTATGTATTTATAAAATTTAAATAATTCTTAAAGATACATAATATAATTTTATCATAAAAAATAAGTAATAAAATAGATGTTATTAATATAGCCAATTTTTTACAATCACAACTTATTGTTGGAATAAAAAAATTAGTCATATACTTTTAAAAAAAAATTAATATATATATATATATATAATTATTATTACAGCTTATAAAATATATAATAATTAATAATAATTTTAAGTAATTAAAGAAAGTTAGAATTATCTTATGGCTAATGATTTCTAAAATATTTCTTGTATTTATATAGGCTAATAAGAAGATCTTGATTATTATAAAAATTTAAAATAAAAATTATATAAATATATGTACATACACACATACTTATGTAGGGGTTATTAGAAGTTACTAATTTTTTAAACTTAAAGAAGTTAAGAAGAAATTTATTTTAAAAAATATTTAAAAAAACTAAAAACTATATATTTATATATATATATATATATATATATATATATAATCCATCCACCAAACTTCTATAATATTCTAAAGAATATTTTATAATATTTTTATAATAATATATTTAGTATTTCTATAACTTATTTTTATGGTATGTATTAATATAGAATTCTTTCTTCAAAACTTTTAAAAATAAACTTTTTGTGATTTTTATTCAATATTTAGATTGATATGAGTGTATTCAATCATGATATTAATAGATAATAAAAATCAAGAATTCAAAAAAATCTATAAAAATAAAGAAGAAGATTATATGTATATAAAACAATACAAACAACTTTGCATCTTCTTTAATATATTATATTTATAGATTTATTGACATCTTCTTTGGTTATTTGAACTTGTAACCAAGTATTTATAAATATTTAGTTGTTTGAAAACAACACAACCAAAACATAGAAATCTTGGTCAATTGCACAATCTAAAAACACAAAGAAGTCTTAACCTTGAGCAGATTGGAAAAAAGTTTCATGCTTGTTCAAGTTCATTATGGACATAAAGAAGATGAGTTTCTGAAGAGATGTTCTCATCAAACAGAACTGCTCTGCATACATTACTGTGATCAAATTATGGATCAAACCACAGTCTCTGCAGTGTACTAAGTTGCACAACAATTCTGCTCAATGTAGATATAATCACCTGATTTTAGAGTAGTAAAGAGAATTACAGTGTATGTGAACAACCACTGTATGAGCACAGTAGAGACTATGGAGAGGCATCAGTTGTTTCAAATGCTTCCACAAGTAACCAATCTGGATATTCACAGCAAGCAATAGGATCTACTGGAGCTTCAAAATCAACCTCATGATACAGCTTGTTAGGGTTACAAAACTAGCTCTTTTATTGCATTGCAACATAAGACATCACATTCCCTCACACATGAGGCTTTTTCATGCATAGAAAATGTTCATAAACTGAATCTGGACTATAACAGTAAAGAGATCCATTGAGCACCCACCAATGCAAGGTACAAGGTAGAGATTTTCAGCACTAAACATACATCTGATGTTACAACAATGTAAGAGTCAACACCAGATTACAAACAGCTTAAACTATTAAACTACGTTAAATGTATTCCACCACTCACAAGGCTGATTGATTCTCATGTTGCATCAAAGACAATCACTCTTAGTCTCCCACTTGAATAAAAAAAAATTACCTAATTAAACAGCTTGTATTGCATGGAAAGTCTCATTATTTCCCCTAAAGCCCAATTGGGTTTTGGATTATTTTTCTCACAGAACCCATTGCATTTGGGTGAGGACTAAAAAGGAGGGGGGCCACCTTATCCAGATCAGCCATCCATGGCAGCCAATTGGGACTGCGCTCCCGTACCACCTGCTGGAATCCCAGTGGTGCCATCCTCCCCGAGTCACCCACCCTTCGTCCCACCCGGCCCGGCCCGGCCCCGTCACCACCCTCACCATGAGAGCATCGAGAGAGGCCCAGCTTTGTAAATCATCATCCCTGCAAACAACGTCTTAGCAGCACGCTCTCTCCACTCGCCCTCGCAGTCTCGCTTGTTTCTCTCTTAATGTGAGGTGTACCGCCCCTTCGCCCCCTCGATGCCGTCGCAATGCGCATTCTTTGAATTTTGATGTGTGTGTGTGTGTGTTTTTTTTTTCTTTATTTTTTTTTTCTTTCCTTCTCGCTGAGGTTTTCCTTTTGGCTCACCTGGTTTCATGTTCTCTTGTGTCTGTAGTTGTCGAAATGGCAGCAGCGATGGCCTCTATGACTACCCCCGTCGTTGCCGGGCTTGGTGGCTCAGCTCTCCTCGCTAACAGGACTTCCTCTAAGGTCCAACTGACCTCGGGTGAGTTTCTCTCGTTGGTTCCACTTGTCTAGTGTGTGCGATCGAAATGTGAATTTTTATTGACTTGTGCGTTTTCGCTTATTGGTTGGTCCTGATTGCTCTTCGGTGTTCGTGCTTCTGAATGCAGCTTTCGTTCCCCGTGCCGTTCAAGTTAACAAGCCTCTCTGCGTTTCCCGCGTCACCTGGTATGTCCTCTACGATGTCAATTGGAATTCATGTGGTTGTATCATTCTGCTTTAAGTTCACTTATTAGACTGTTTGCGGATTCTCATTTTCCAAATACTTCGTAGCCTTTCAGTGTTTCAAGACGATCGATTTGATTCTTTCTGTGATGAATGCGATGGTTGCTGTGCGCAGCTTCAACAGGGATTGGTTGAGGAAGGACCTCTCTGTCATTGGCTTTGGCCTCATTGGTTGGTTGGCACCGTCCAGCCTGCCAGTCATCAATGGCAACAGCTTGACAGGCCTCTTCTTGGGCAGCATCGGACCCGAGCTGGCTCACTTCCCTACAGGCCCAGCCCTTACATCGCCATTCTGGTACGTTCACAATTCAACATCTGTGTATTCAGTGTTATCAGACTCAGAGAGACCTTAATGTTGTATCGCGGAGTTTGCAGACTTTGTCTATGGAGAAACGTGGGTTTCAGATGATTGTAGTGTTGATCTAAAATGTGGTGCTCTTGAACCAGGTTGTGGATGGTCACATGGCACGTGGGTTTGTTCATCGTGTTGACTCTTGGCCAGATCGGGTTCAAAGGCCGCCAGGACGGCTACTGGTGAGTGAGGGCAATCAACATTACCTGAGATGTGTGCGAAAGTTCTCATGGGTTCCGTAGTGGCATGCTGGGAAGATCGAGAATAACTGTGGATGGGGGACTCGTTACTAATGTGTTGTGTTGTGCAGGAGCTAAGCCTACAGTGGTGCCCAGTTGATAGAGATGCAGACGCAGCGCAGTGGAAGTGGATTAGAATCGCTGTACCATTAAATACTGTAAACAAGGAAATTCGTAGCGCAACTCATGTCCATTCGTTGTTTATAAGAACAGTTGAATGTTCTTGATGTATGTACTGTGCTGTGTTGGAAATGTCACGACGCACACGACTGTCAATCCACTAATAATCATCAAAGAACACATTTCCTTACGAAATTCTCTGGCGACCTTAACTTTTTAATGCAAAGTCCTTAGTTGCAAGATACGATGATTAAGATGGGTGAATGTAAGCTCTAGCGTTTCGTGTAAATTCTTGCACAAAGCAGTGCTGTGACCAAAGCATAATGTCTCTGAACCTGGTGGTGTCAAGGGCCTGACCTGATTGGCCTTGACAAAATGAACAATGAATAATCTTACTCATTTCCCAGTTGTATCACTCGTGGAAATTCGCAGTTGATAAGTGTACATTGTTTCCCAGCTGATCTTCCCCCTCGCTGTCCTAAGTTCTTTCCTAATAATAAGTCTGGAATTATACAAATAGGAGTCCGGTTATTACGTAACATCTGTCATCTGCTAGACAAACAATTCACAGTCGGGAGCCTCATAATGGATAAGTGCACTTCTTCGAATCGGAATTTTGTCTGCTTATCTCGATAACAATTATCATTACTATGAGTTATCACTCAGTAGTGGACGGGGTTTGTGACAACTAGGTCTTATCATGTAGAATTGAAGGTAAAGCTTCATCAATGTCAGACAACGGAACATGTTGCTGAAAGCTATAAGAAAGCGATGTTCTGTACTCTGAAACCGTTCGCACTTGTCCACTAAAAATGGTGTCTGGTTTTTACGGAAGTTAAAATGACTCGAGACTTTCGAAGGATTTGAATTACCTTTGAATTCTATTTCACGTAGTCTATTGTTTGCTGGACATAGTCTAGGAATCATGTCCATGAAAATTAAGCAAAGTGGAATTTTTAATAAATTTTCGTACTATTTTATTTTAGTGTGCACTGGTATTTCGCTGGTACAAATTAAAACTTTGAAAGCAATTTCAGGGGGACTTGATGGGTTTGTAAATATGTTATTGTGTTTTTACACTGTATGTATACCCCAAAAAAATGTATATCCATGTATCTATAGTTTTATATACACGAACGAATAAAATATTTTGTTGTTTACACCCATTTGAATATTTCATGACGAGTTCGATTGTGACATATTATTCTTAACATGAATTACAATCTAAGAACACATCGTTTCATGCAGGACCCGCTTTGAAGACATTCCTCCTAAAGAAAGCAGAAGATTTAAGATAAACGCAACTTCAAACCATGTTAACTAACAACTAGTTAAAAACCATGTAAACCATGTTGAAGACCATGTTAAAACCATGTTAACTCACAACTAGTTCCATGATAGTGGCTGATTATGATCATTCTGATTAATCTGATTATTACTTTAAATAGTAAGATTGTGGCATTTGAGAATGCGTTATATGAATTTCACCAACACAGGTCTTCCATCTATTTCATGTTATCATGCATGTTGTTAGAACATTACAGTATTGCATGATTGAAAGGGTCTCATGGCCACACTCGACGGTAGAATTCCAGTCAATCATACGTTCTGCTATTTGCACAGTAAACGAAATAGGTCATTCTTGCACCACAATTTGCAGCAAAGTTGTAGTTCCCAGCCTCTCAAAAAGCAGAAACAAAGACAAATCAATAACACAACATCATCCGAACTGAACCCAATTTGTGATATGCATGTTTTATCTGACGCAGGCAGAACGATCACTTCGGTTCTGCTGGAACTCGCATGCTGCGTTGTCTCGTTGTGGCAGTCCAGCGGATTGCGGGGTTGCATTAGCCAAAGCCGGAGGATCCCAGAAGGCGAAGGGTGCTGCTGCGGAGCGACCCTTATCCGGAGCAAACCGTGGCAACCAATCACACCTCATCTCCTCCGTCTCGCTGTTCTCTCCCATCATCCCAGCACCCTAGCGCTCCATACTTGTAAGCGTGCCTTCGCTAGCTCTCCAGCATCCGCCAACGCCCATCTACGAAGCTGTGTTGACGCGCTGTGCAACATCTTTCTATTCAACGTAAGTTTATTCTCCAAGAGCTCGTTCCCTTCAAATTGCTTGGTAGGTGGTCTTGAGTTATTGCCCTAGGTCCTGTGTCTCTGCTTTCTGAGGGTGTGACAGCTTTTTGCTGATCTATTGGCCATGGTGGCCTTGATGGGTAGCTTTCCAATCGGGAGTAGTAATGTTTTCCTCGTTGCTTCGGTTGGTTATAACTAGTTACCTCAGCATTTCCTCAGATGCGTTTTATTCTATTTCATGGTTATCGCTGTAGATGTTTCTTGTTGGATTAGCAGGTACCGTTAAACTAGGAGCGTTTGCTGTCTGTGCAGCTCTTACGTTCCTGCATTTCGTCTGTTAAGTGTATTTAGCATCAGAACTATGCTTGAATTTGCTATGGTCTTGCTCTCTTCAATTGGCTCGCTTCTTCTAGGCTTAGTCTCACGTGCCGAGTGCAGTGATTTCGAATTGATCTGAAATGCGTGTCGGTTCAAGATGGGTGGATGATGAGCAATCACGCTGACTTCCTGTGATATGCGCAGTCGTCGACATGGCAATGACTGCTACTTCAATGGCCATGCCTGCCGTTGCCGGTCTAGGAAGCTCTTCCATCTTGGCTAGGAGATCCCCGAAGTTGCAGCTGACCTCAGGTGTGTTGCTTTCTGGTCTCATTAATCCCATAAGTCCCCAGTTCTCACTTAAATTTATGTTTGCAATTGATACGACAGAGAATGTATCCCTGAATCTTTCCAATCCACGAGAATAACTGATGCGAGTACGATTTATGTGAATGCAGCGTTCGTCGGTGGAGCCATCAAAGTGAACAAGCCCCTCTGCATGTCTCGCGTCACCTGGTGTGTACACTATACTAAAAAAAGATTTCCTGTAATTTTGCAATGCTGATTGTAGGCATGTACTAGTGCCCGCAACACAGTTGCATGCTACCAAGTGGAGATAATACAAACCCATCTGATGTAATTCTGCTGAGTGAGTTCTGTCAATATGACCGTTCTCTCTGATCGATGCCCTGGGTTGGATTTCTTAGTCTGATAAATATCTGTACAATCCTTCAATATCATGTCACATTACCCTCTGGCCCTCTGTCCTACTCCTGTATTACTCCGTGCGTTCACTGACATTGTTATTAGGTCCATTGTCATTTACCGTACTGGTTGGGGTGCGCAGCTTCAACAGGGACTGGTTGAGGAAGGACCTCTCCGTCATTGGCTTCGGTCTCATTGGTTGGTTGGCACCATCCAGCTTGCCAGTCATCAACGGCAACAGCTTGACAGGCCTCTTCTTGGGCAGCATCGGACCCGAGCTGGCTCACTTCCCTACCGGCCCAGCCCTAACATCCCCATTCTGGTACCCCCTCAATCATACGTCAATTGTGAGTAGTAGAGAGTGTGGTGGTTACTGTGGAGTAACATTGCAGTCTAGAGAAGAGTTCAGGCTGTGTTATCAGAGACATCAAGTTTGCAATTAATAGTGCAGTTTGGGACTAATGTGTATCTTTTTTTGTATCAGGTTGTGGATGATCACATGGCACGTGGGATTGTTCATTGTGTTGACCCTTGGTCAGATCGGGTTCAAGGGCCGCCAGGATGGCTACTGGTGAGTGTGGGATAATAGCACTGCACGAAATTCATGGACCTGAGGGTGTAGTGAGCATGTACTGTTTAGAGCAACAATAGTTATGAATGACAAATCTGTTTTGTCCTGCGAGAAACATTAAGACGTAGAGTGTGTGGGGAACGTGTCACTTATATGTGTGGTGGTCGATTGCAGGAACTAAGCGTGCGGTGATGCCCTGATGATTGCGTTGCAGTCGTAGTGCTGATGAGGCAGATTAGAATCGCTGTACTTTAAAAAGTTGTAAACAAGAAAATTTATAGCACCACCAATGTTCATCTTGATGTTTTTAAAACCAGTCGAACGTCGATGACTGTGCCATGAATTCTGTTGATGCGGTTACTGGTTTGTTTTGCAATGCCCTGAAAAAGTCGCTTCTTCCAGAGAATGTTTTGTGCATTCATATTGCAGCAAACATTGCCTGTTGGTGAATTGTCAGTCGCTATATATAACCCTACTGCGTATCATTTTTTTCGTTTTCTTACATATCATTCTGAACCGAACTTCTAAGAACTTCAAAATCCTGGAACTTATGAAATAACCTTTCAATTAATGCCAGCCCCGCTCATGCACATTAAAATTTGCGCAAATGACATGTTTTTTAACCTCTTGAATAAATTTTCAATCAGCACTCATACGCATCCATCTGTTCATGTAATTACAATAAAAGATAGAACTTCTATTTTACCGAAATTTATTCAATACTAGTAGAACAAATAAACACTATTCACCGAAAATATAACACTGTCGAAGATGGAAAATTGCTCGAAAATAAAAAAAAGGCAGACAATACTTTCATTTGAACATTTGAAATCTTTATTTAAAATAACGCCAATATCTTTTCCAGCACACATGTTCTGTTCTGAAGACAAAGACCAATGCGCTTTCACAAATATTCGTAGACAAACAATTGTGCAACTTTTCAATTTAGTACAGAATACTTCATCATCATCTTGTACTTTCATCTTCATACTACTTGCTTTCTGCTTGTTTGTCTTACTACCTTAGAAAAAATTAAAAAACACTCTACTTAATAGAAAATATTTGTTTGTAAATTTCACACAATATAATCTTAAATTTAAATAAAATATATAAATATGTTGTAGTACAATAATTGCTAAGTTACAATAAGAAAATTATGAATTTTTTCTATTGTATTCACACAAAAAAAAAAAAATTGGTCTAAAATGACCTTAATCTAATAAAAAACTGTCAATTAAATGTAAAATCTCCACTTTTTTGTGCAAATGATCACACAAATATTCTTCTTTTATAGTATTAGTAATAAAAATAATAAAGATAATGGAAATTGACATGTATAAGTAAGTAAGATCATACACATTATCAATGTTATAGACAAGAAAATCACTTTTAATCTCAATTGAATAATAGCTAAAATATCATCATTTAAAACTAATTTAAAACTAAATTGAAATACATAACAATTTAGGATCATCACGACCAAAAAGCATTTATCATGGAGGAAAAAAATAAAAAATTTGAAAAAATAAAGTGTAGAATGAATTCTCTGTGAAATAGTTTTAGTATTATTTTCATCACGACACATCCCAGCAGAATCCTTTAAACCTTTATTTCTATTTTTTATTTCTATTTGTGATTCGGTTTAACAATAGGTAGCACATGTTCATTAATAACTACCAACTACTGATTCATCATTTACAATCTCCAACCTCTACTACAAAACCTGCATCCAAGACTGAGACAATTCCTTGCCTAAACCAATAAGTTAGGATTTAAAAACTTCACATAGATTTGTTTTTTTCCAAAAGTGATTCGATGGCTCCATGCAGTCATGCTATTCTTTAGAGGTCAAGAAGCTTTTAGTTTACACAGTTTTACAACCAAGTTCATTGGTCTCTCTCGATGGTCAGAACGGATGTGTCAACAAATACACATTTTCAGGCATACCACCACAATAAGCCCTGATCTAGAATTGTGTGGACATATACAAAGATGGGTTGCCTCTATCCATCCATGTAAGCATATGTTTACATCATCGTAGTCATTGAAGACTCCGGAAATGTGCGAGTTAGGAAAGAGTAGAGCCCCCCACCCAGCAACAACGCTCCACTGCACCCACCAATCCCTCACTTATGTTAGCAACCTTGTAGATTCACTAATACTTTGAAAGTGTTCATGGTCAACATCTTCTACAAGCTCACAGAATAGGCCACGTACTTCTTAGCAAACATGTCTAGGCAAATGCTGTTCAAGCTGCTAGCAGTAACTAAGCGAAACACGTTCTGAGAAACCTAAAACCAGTGACAGGAAACGCCAATTACTACAGAAATTAGAATGTGGGAAAGTACCTGGTAGGATTAATCCACGCAGAATACTTGCGCATGGCCATGAGTTGCTGCATTCGAACAAGAAAGTCAACTACTTAACAAAGACCTCGGCGATCCAGAGGGAAATGACTTACTGTACTTCGTAGGACAAATCCAAGAGTACTAAATGCATCCAGCATCTCTTTCATCAGTTATCAACTTCTGGTGCCCACCCAAGGATATGAATATCGAAACGTGAACCCGAGTGCAGTCATAATAAGCGCGGCACATTAAACGATTGCCTACATTCTGAGAACCCGTATTTCTTCTGTAATTTCTAAGCCCACATACCCATTATTGTAGTGCTTAGAATCAGGTTGCATCGAAATTATCCAAGTTGTCTCACAACGGTTTCAGCTTAAAAACATACCTGGAGAGCGCCAGCGAATGACGCGGCCAATAAAAGAGGAGCTACATATCCAGTTGTGTAAGCCAAAAGTAGGCTACCTCCAACCAACGGATCCTGGAGCATAGAACTACCTACTTAGTTAACGAATTCATATCTATTCAAGGAAATTTAGAGGAGATGTGACTCTAGTCAAACAAATCACAAAAACAACAACATTGTTACTCATCAACATCAGCAATTTCTTTCGTCATGCATCAACCTATAAGGTGGCATATCTACGACGATAGATGAAACGTGGGCTAAGAATCTTCAGACCTGAGACGAGGCCACATAGGCCAGCAGCGAGGCAAGGACTGGGGTGCTGCAAGGAGACGCTGCCAATGCAAACGTAAGACCTGCAAGGTATGCTTGAGCACCTGAACTCCGAACGTTGAATTAGGATTCTGCAACGAATGTATTCCCTAGCTTCCCGCCCCAAGAGTAGCTTGTCCATGAACTGCCTTTTCGACCTTTGATTGAACTACCCTCCTACAAATCATCTTTATTTAAAATCATATCTTCTAAACGTCGAAAAGTACAACATTTATGTAGAAACGAATCTAGAAAATTAGGGTTGGTTTAAGAGATATAAGGAACGAACTTGGAGGAAGAGTGGCTGCTGCCTTCCGGGCATCAAAGTTGCCGAAAAACGACGGAAATTGAAGCTCAATGATCTGCCAAGAATTCCATCAGTTTCGTATTAAGACTAGGATCACGAAAACTTAAGGATACGTGAAATGAGAACTTATCGATGAGCCACTGAACTTCTCTGACTTGGCAGCCCCGGGGGTTCTCAAGAATAAATCCAAAAACAGAAACGAAATTGAGCCAAAAAAAAAATCAAGATTGACAGAATGTTAGTTCGGTTTGCTCCTAGTTGTTAAGAACCCTACCTCCAGAAGATTCAAGCCCATTACCATCGCCACAACCGACACAGCGATTGGAATGCCTTGTCCAATTTGACCATAAGCCTTTCCTGCTAATGATGCTCCGACACCGAGCACTGCAAGTGTCGTTGCCAATCCAAAGGAAAAAGCCACTGAATCGACAAACAACTGCCATTCGTACCAGAACTAAACGTGAGATTTTCGGATTACGCACAAAATACTACGTAGCAACTCACTACATTAAGAATACCGAACATGCTGAGACATTTTCAGAAACGCTAACATTGTCCCGACAAATCTGAAAAATCGTATGCGTCAAAACTGAATGACTATGCATAACGACATTAGCAACCACGATGTCTGCCAACATTCGTGATGAAACCGTCTACGAGACCCTTCCTTAATCAAACTACACAAAAGTGTGTCGTTGTAGATGACAGGACACTAATTTTAGATAACCGCCAAACATCTTGGTGATCAAATCGACTCACCTGCGTGCGGTTCTTTCCTCCTCCAGAAGCTCCTACATATGCAACCACAAGAAGGTAACTGTAAAACGATGCTTCTCCACCATGCCACTTCCAAAAAAGTACACGACCTCAATGTAATGACTGAAGGCACGAAGCAATTCGCTGGAGATGGATATGGAAGTCAAAACAGTAGCAAATTAGACAGCACAAATGAAATATCATGGGTGCGTTGACAAATGACTTATTCATTAGCAAATGTCAGTCTCTTCAGCACAACAGTCATGGTTAAATTTTATACAAAGGATTGCTATTTCGACGAAATAGACAGTTTCAATTACTTCCGGTTCGAAGCTAAGGATAATGCAAGTATCATAGATCATTCACAGGTTTGAATCAAATTGGGATAATTTACATCCACCTACTGTTCAATAGAACATGCAATCCAATCCAGCATGACTATATGTCGGGTAATGCTTATCAATGACAGGAAAAACCATACCGATATAGCCAAGTGTGAGAGGCAGAACACTCAGAGTGCACGGAGACAGGCTCGTCACCAGTCCTGCACCAAATATGATGGCCACACTACCAATCATGCGATAAAAACTTCAGTGGTTTATCCAAGCCCTAATGCAGTTGCAGATCATTAATAATTCAGATGTTCGAATGGAACAATGCTCATACAGTACTTTCGAAAATGTATAATAATACTGTTCTATTTCAGGACGAGCCATAGTCAGATCCCACATCCCAAATAAGATTCACATTTCAAGCAGAATCAAGAAATAACACCCAGACGACAGTATTCTTCTAGCAAGCAACGTGTCACGCCAGTTACAGGGATGAGATTAAACGTTGTATCCGTGTCTGGGTGGTCTAAGTCCAGGAAACAAACCTGGTAGGCGTCAAGGAGCCTTGCAGCTGCCCCTGAACCACAGAGTTTGCATTCTGGCCTGCAGTGAATAGCGTGTTATTCAGCCAATCTGATGTTCCACCTTCTGCAACTAACGCAAATAATTGTGGTATTTCCTTCCCCAACCCCATTGCAGCCTGTTGCTCGCCATTTCGGTGGATAACAGAGTGAGTAACACCAACAGGGCAATGTTATGTGATTAGCAAGCTGAAAGCACAAAACACAATACTGCTTCACGTCTTTACTTCTAAATTTGAGTAGCTGTTCCACAAATGGCCTTATTGTATGGGAATTTATGATACTGTTTAGTTTGGCCGAGAATTTGGGAGGGAATCGAACCCCTTCTTCAGAAAAGCAAGACTAATATCCAGCCTTGAACTCTAGAAAAATATAACTACAACTATCTTTCATCTATGATCCATGCAAGGATTCTGAAAATTTCCTTCTCTAGTTTCACAATCTTCATCGTATGTATGGGACCTACATATATTGGATGTTATCCGATGGCATTAAGAAGGTGCAACAACTATTTTGAGGCTATAGCTGCATCTAAGAATTTCGATAAGGCCAAATGTAATTTACGATAATGCTGGTGTCACCAGTGAGCATGGCGAATTCAAGCGGGTGAACTGTCGTCCATAATTCGAAGTTTCCCCAAAAACATTCATAGCTCTAAAGTAAGAATGTACGGGTATACGGAGAACTCACCTCATCAATCAAAGGGACCACCGTTTCAAGCGCAGCAACAGCAACCAAGGGTCCAGCTTTGGGAGGAGATTTCCGAATGGATCTCAACGGATCAGCAGGTGCCCACAAACTGCCATGGCCATTCGTGCTCGGCAACCCAGTCCTAAAACTCCTGGAACCTGAAGCCAAAATATTCGAATTCTGGACCATCCTCAACCCGCAGCACCCCACGCACTGCGCCATCAATTCTACAGCTCAATTCACCTCCCCTTCCTTCCCTGCGTTCGCAAACACATTCATAGCCAAGAAGTTCAAGGCTCCGTAAGGAACCTGTCGCATCCAATCCATCAATCCTACCTAAAATATGCACCCAAGTCCAAAAACCAGGATATCAGTTGACACACAATCTCTTACCTCAGAGTTCTCGCTACCTCTATCGGCCACAATTCAAGACTCAAAACACCCAAACTCACAAACCACCGCACCCAACACTCACTTGTATTGCTCAACACAGCTCCTATGAAAAATTTTGCTGCGTCTTTGCACCACGGCCAGTCACTCTCGTGTGGCGGGTTGCGTGACGCTTCCCGCAACGACAAGAGAGAGATGAATGTGGTCCGTTCGTCGAAACCATCAGCACAGTGAGGGAGTTGAGATCGCGGCGTTGCGAGTGGAACCCGATCTTGGCTTTCATGCTCAATCTGCCCTCGCACGCAAAATGCTTCTCCAGTGAGACAGGTCCGGTTTTTTGAATCGCATCATTGTCTCCGTTCTTCGAAGCTAACCACCATCGCTGCTGCTGTTCTCGGTCGTCCTGGACTTCTTTGGAACTCGTCTTTCTTCTGTTCTGTTTTTTTAAGCAGAGATTAACGTCGAAATCAAGCTTGTCAATTCAAAGCACCATATATGGGGGATTTATATAGCACTATATATGGGGGATTTATATAGCACTATATATGGGGGATTTATATAGCACTATTTATGGGGGATTTATATAGCACTATATATGGGGGATTTATATAGCACTATTTATGGGGGATTTATATAGCACTATTTATGGGGGATTTATATAGCACTAGCACTATTTATGGGGGATTTATATAGCACTATATATGGGGGATTTATATAGCACTATTTATGGGGGATTTATATAGCACTATTTATGGGGGATTTATATAGCACTATATATGGGGGATTTATATAGCACTATTTATGGGGGATTTATATAGCACTATATATGGGGGATTTGTATAGGGTGATGTCAATTCAAAGCACTATGTACGGGGGATTTATTTAGGATAAAGTTAAATAGACCCAAGTTTTTACTAAATCAACTCATCCATCCTGACCAATCATCATGAAAAAAATAATGATTTCTGGATTTATTTTTCTAGTATTAGATTTGCAATCAATAAAAACCAACCACATTCATCATAATTATTATATTCTTTATTAGTCTATTTAGTAAAATCATGGATTTATTTAGAATTTTCTTTTATCTCTCTCTCTCTCTCTCTCTCTCTCTATATATATATATATATATACATAGTTTATTTATGTATAATTATATATAGATTTACTTTGCTTAATTCATAATCTAAGGAGATGAAAATTTTATAAACTATGTGAAGAATATTAGTTAAGAGATATTAAATTATATATATATATATATATATATATATATAACACATGGTTAAATCGATTAACTTAATATAACCATCAATAGAAAAATGGATCGTCTCCAAAAACCATTATTGAAATTATAGCCCTCATCTTGACCCCCTTTGTTTCCAACTCCTTTTCAACTTTTTTAGCCTTCACTTTTATCTTCCTTCTTCACTTTTCCAATTCTTAATCATATTTTGCCTAACAATTCGGTGATTGTCTTTGGAGGGCAGTATGTATATAATTATAAGTTTTTTCCAATGATTAAAGGAAAAAAAAATACCAATTTTAATTTCTAACAAAGACCACTATTTTTGGCACCATACAAAACCTTTATCTATTCCTTCATTGATACCTATTAATAATAAGAACTTGAAGAATGTAAATAAATAAGTAAGATATCTTTTAAAGAAAGATAGCAAAAATAAAAATAAGTAATTATCTATATCAAACAAGAAATTGGAATAGTTGTTGCCAAAGACTAGAAAACTAAAGATTCTTGAAACAATATTAGAAGCAAGAAAAGAATTGATAAGAATAAATAAACCTTTATTTTTGTTTCTACATACACTATTTAATTAAGAGCTATGTATCAATGTTTTATATGACTTCCGACATATGTCCAACTTCCAAGACATGTGTCTAATTTGCAAAGTAAGTTACTTATAAGTGCACCATATATCAGAGATAAGAACTTGATGAAAATAAATAAATAAGTGAGATTTTTTCAAATAAGTATAATAAAATAAAAATAAGTAAGTATGTAGATTAAAAAAAATTTAGAATGGCTATTGCCAAAGATAAGATAACTAGAGACTTCTTGAAACTAGACTAAAAATAAAAAAGAAGTTGACAAGAGTGAAAAAAGCTTTACTCTTGCTTTTACATATGTTATCTATTTAGAAGCTACATGGCAACATTCTATAGGCCCTCTAAAACATGTCGACTTTGCATAACATATATTTTAACTTATAAGGTAAATTTTTTATATATGCGCTATTTAATTAACTTGTTCCACAAGTTACCAACATATTGTCGTGTTTTGATTTGGTTATCATGTGAAAATAATATATTTATATATCTAATATATAATTTATTATATAATATAATAAAAGCCATATTATTAGATTTTAGTTGGTTACAAAATATGATTAGATTATTACTTTGAAGTGGTTAATTTAAAAAGACTATTATTGAGGTTGATTTTATGTTGATAATTTTATATATTTAGAGCCATCTTTATTAGATATTGGTGACTCTTGAAATCTTATTTTGTTTCTTTTATTTGATATTTAAGACATATATTATGAAATCTTATAAAAAAATGATATGAGAGGAATTTTGATAGCAAAAAGAATAGTTAAGGCATCCATATGGATAAATGGAGATGGATGATAAAAATCTCTATTCTTATTGGCCAAAATTTATGTCCAATGGACTTCAAGGAGGCTACTTGAAGCCTTATTAGGAATTATGATTATTTTCTTCAGTGATTTTGAACTTAAGAGGCTAAAATTAGAAAGTTTAGGATTTTGGCTATAATTTTGGATGCAAATTTTGTGTGATTTGGAGTTTCTATGAAAGAAATATAGGGGTTTAAAGTTAAGGTGTTGGCTTTGTATCTATTGTCACTCTTTTGGACATAACCCATACATACAAAAGCAATGAACGATTGATGATTGAAGTTGGAGAGAGCATTTTTTTGGCTATACTTTTTATATATTACTTCATGACTTCTAAGCTAAGATGAAGGAATTGTAAGGAGCTAAAGTCAATGCTTGCAATTGAAGGGCAATAAGTGACCTGATTTATTAGTGGTTGTGTTTTGAACTATATCTTGAGTAATTTGACGAGATTTTGACTAAATCTTTTTAAAAACATGTGTTATCATGTTATTAAATTTTATACAAAAATTTTGTGGTATTTAAAGTTTAGATTTTTGAGATATAGAATAAATAGTATTTGGTTGCTTATAATTTAGGATTTAGAGCACCTTCTAGGATCTATAAGAAACTACACAATCTGTAGTAGATTTAAAATTTATTTATTTTTGTAGTAAAGCTGAAGGATAAAGTCTATATGATCTAGAAATTTGAAAAAAAATTAAATATTTGGATTAAGAGATATGAATTTTTAAAGTTTGGAGAAGAAAAATTCTTCATATGAAAAAAATATTTTTATAGGATTTTGCTACAATTTGGGCATTTTATACAAAGTATAGGGATTTTTGAAAGCTAAGACTTTATATATATATATATATATATATATATTAAAGATGGAGTTATGGAGCTATGAAAAAATTATGATATAAAGATGAATTTTTGTAAGAGGATTATGGATTTTTGTTGAGCTTATTGGAAATCAAGCTTACTAGCAAATGATTTAGTTATGACTTAGTATAGCAAAGGATGTTAAAGCATTTCTAGCTGCTTTAAAAAGCCTTATGTATAAAGCTTCTTAAATATAAAAAGGTTTTATCAATAAAATAAATTTTGATACTATTATATTTATTTGGCCTTTATAATAAGAATACATTACTTATTGAGACTTATCGAATAATCTGTACTAGATTTAAAACTTATTTTTTAATATACTATCTTTTTTGACAATCATATTTTTTTATTTTATGATTGTGTTACTTCTTTAAGTAATGTTGAATAGTATGCTTTGATTCTCTATAATATAAATACAATCCTTTTTGACAACAAGAAGTTTTTTCTTGCTTAGTAAGAAGTTTGAAATATATCACAATAATTTACATATTCTCTATTTTCAAAGATATGTTTGAAAAGATGTTGGTGTCGCCATTAAATTGTAATAATATTGAGGCTTACTTATGTGATTCTCATACCATAATTTCAAAAGTTGATTATTATATATTATAGTAAAATCAATTACTTAACCTAATATTTGAAGATCATGTAAATTAAGTATCAATTTCTTTATTTCATACTATAATCCATAAAAAATTAGCTTATAAGTGCAATATTATTCCACTTGATATCAATGGCAAGTTATCTAAATTGTAAAGCATATAATATTATAGATTGATTTTTTTATCACAAAATATAAATCTTGTTTCTTGCAACATGAATTGTATTAAGTTTTCCATACATAAATCAAAACTCCATCAAGAAAGCTTCCAATTTTTTTAATATTGAGTGAAGTCATTCAAAAAAAGATGAAAACTATAATAATACAAAATCAAAAAGTAGTTTTTAATAAACCTGACTTATGATCTTGGAATTGGATAGCTTTGAAGTTGAAGTTCAATTGCTAGTTTTACTTTATTAATAAATATTTGAAATTTTGATTTTGTACCATCAAATTTCTCAAGTAAGGTAATTTTTGGTTCTTTGATGCTTGAATTGTGTTCCACTATAGGAAAAGAGACATGATTTGATATAGATGTTAAAGAAATTCCAATCATCTCTATATCTCGACTTTTTGTCATTCTTGTTCTTCTTTGTGGTGGTAAATTGAATTGATGAATTGCAAGCATTAATTCTTTTAATTTTTTTTGTATTTGTGCTATTGCACTCTTTATTTTGACAAGTTCTATCATAATAATACTTAAAAAAAAAGAGATATCTAATATTGCTCAAGAAAAGTAAAAAAAAGAATAAAAAAAATATTAAAAATAATATCAATTTAAAAGAGAGTAATCTTTAATTTCTTATATGCTTATGTCTTATTAAGAAAAAAGAGATAATATATTCTTAATTAAAAAAAGATCAAGCTGTGATATTATAAGTGTATTTTTATGAATCTATCAAGGACAAAAATTTGATAAAATAAAATAAACAAAAGAAACTTTTTCAAAGAAGTATAAAAAAATAGAAATAAGAAAGAATATATATTAAAAAGAAATTGGAATGTCTATTGTCAAAAAAGAAGAAATCTAGAAACTTCTTAAAACTACACTAGAAATTAAAAAAAAAATTGAGAAGAGTGAAAAATGCTTCATTCTTACCTCTATATATATACTATCTATCCAAGAGCTACATAGTAATATTTTATATGACCTCTAAAACATGTTGAATTTGAATA